ACTGACTTTGGGCCTCATTTGTTATTCTTTTACTAGTTTCATTAATTGTGAGTTTAGACTGCTTATATGGGATTGTTCTTCTTTCTGAGGTAGGCCTGTATTGCTATATACTTTCCTCTTAGCACGGCCTTTGCTGCATCCCACAGATTTTTGCAGTGTTGAATTATTGTTGTTATTTGTCTTCATATATTGCTTGATCTCTGTTTTTATTTGGTCATTGGTCCATTGGTTATTTAGGAGCATGTTGTGAAACCTCCATGTGTTTGTGGGATTTTTCATTTTCTTTGCATAATTTATTTCTAGTTTCATACCTTTGTGATCTGAGAAGCTGGTTGGTACAATTTCAATCTTTTTGAATTTACTGAGGTTCTTTTTGTGGCCTAGTATATGATCTATTTTTGAAAATATTCAATGTGCACTTGAGAAGAATGTGTATACTGCTGCTTTTGGGTGTAGAGTTCTGTAGATGTCTGTTAGGTCCATCTGTTCTAGTGTGTTGTTCAATGTGTGACCTGTTGCTCACAGACTCCTCCCCTTTTTCATTTGGCAGTAGCCAAATTAGCTTCCTTACACTGAATGCACCAAATCCTCTTTATGAAGTGCTCCCTGCCTAGAATGTTCTTCCCCCAGATAATGGTAATACCCTATCTCCTTCAAGTCTTAGTCATATCTTTTCCGAATGAGGCCTCCCCTGAGGACTCCATTAAATCTTCGGTCTGCTTCCCACATTCCCATCACTGTCACCCTGTTCTACTTTTTATTGTTTACTGTTCATAGTCTACCTCTCCATTCCCCACTAGAACGTCAGCCAGGGATCTTTGCTGTTTCATCCACTGGTATATCCAAAGTGCGTAGAAAAGTGCCTGACATGTGGTAGGTGCTCTATAAATATTTGTTGAATTGAATTGATGAATTAAATCGAGTGATCCTGGGCATATCACTTAGTTTGTCTGTATCTTAATTTCTAAGTCTGTTAGGTGGAGCTGTCTCCCCCTTTTCATCTAATAGATTTGTCAAGAGACTCAGAATCAGTGATAGCAGATATATAGTATATGGAAGCTTTTGAATGAGTGCAGCAGAAGGGATATGGTATTACTGAAGAGAATTGTTCACTTGCCCTTCTCATCAGTATGAAACAGACAATAATTATATGCAGTATTTCTTTGGATTTTTATCATTTATTCCTAAGTATGACTTCTTGAAGAGGGGATCATATCTAATAAAACCTATTTCATGTATGAGAATCTTGAGGTAAAAGATAAATGCTTGCACCCAGGTTCTTTAATTTTGGGGTGTGTGTGGCTGGATTAATAATGATAATGAAATAATCCTGAGTTCCAAGGCTGTGGTGGCTTTGTTCATGAAGCCACATTATCTCTCTAAATATGTGTTGATTTTGAACACTAAACATTTTGGCAACTAGGTTTACTTATCAACACAATTGTGTTTACTTATATGTGGAATCTAAAATAGACTAGTAGAAACAGTGGAGTGGTGGTTGCCAGGAACTGGGGAAAGGGAAGTGCAAGAACAACTGCTGGGCAGGAATAGAAAGGGAGAGGAAGAGGGATAGGTAAACAGTGGGTTATTTTCTACCTAAAAGATACTTTGACTCTTTGAAATTGGTAACTAGTTGCTTATTAAGTGCTCTTTTTTTTTTCTCTAAAAATTGTTCTGTGGATAGTTGAAGTAACCATGTTTCTTTTCTGAGAGAGGTAATTTTCTCAAGACCACAATTAATACATATTTATCTTTTAAAAGTCATACACAAATGTAAATGAATCTGTAAGTCAGATAGCAACAAGTACTGTATGATCTCTCCTATATGAGGAATCTAATTGATCAACCAATTGAGTTCGTAGATACAAAGAAGAGAATGGTGGTTGCCAGAGGTGATGAGGGATGGAGGTGGGGGAAATGGGTGAACTGTGTTTTTTGTTTTTTTTGTTTGTTTTTTAATAAATTAAGTTTTTAAAAAGCTGTACACAAATGTAAGTGTATCTATTTGCCACTGGAAGTACAGTGGACATTTTGGCTACATTCTCATCTTGTTGAGCCCAGAGAGAATTCCTTTTCAAAGGAGAGCATACTTCGTATGAGAATCTGCCTTTATTCCCCCAAGTGAGTACTTGTACAAAGGAGAGGATATTCTCTTTTCATCATTATTGTCCTAATTTAGACCCCTTGTTTGTTTAGATCACTTAAATAGCAGCCCACCTGGTTTTCTACTCTTCCATTCTCTCCTTCAACTTTCCTCTCTAATTCATTCCCAACATTCCTACCAGGCTTTCAGTTATAAACAAATTCAGTTATGTTATTTTCCTTCACTAAATTTTTTAATGGGTCTTCATTTGCTCATAGCATAAAGTTCACAACCTTTAAAAATATTATCAAAGGTACTGTGTCATCCACCAACAGACTTCCTTTCTAGGATAATCTAGCCATAATAGCTATATCAGTTATCTTGTGATACACCAGAAGTACTTGAGGCACTTATCATCACTTAACATGCTATTAATTTTACTATTTTGTTAACCTCCTATTAAATGTGAGCTTCATCATGTGGACAGTGATTTTTGTCTGTTAGGTTAACTCCTGTATCTCTGTCATCTTAGAATAGCACCGTGCACTTAGTAGGTGCCCCGTAAGTGTGCATGCATGAATGAATCTTAAAAGCCAACCTATCTTCACATAGTAAGTACACCAGGATTAATATTTAATGCTAACTATATGTCAGAGACTGTTTCTATTACTATTTTTAATCAAGTTTAGAGTTCTGTTTCTCACATTAAAAAAATGTATATTTTAGTTTTATTCAAGGCATTAGGACATAGGTGGTTAATCAGAGATTGGTGGTGGGGAGTAAGTTGTTAATGACATGCCAACAAGAATATGATGTAATACATACTTTGAGAAATTATATTCTAGGTAACATTTTTCTTTAAGTGAAGAATAAAAATCAAGTCCTCATCTTTGAATAGCTGGTCTATAAACAGAAATTTCTATGCAGCTGAATCATTTAGTTTTCCTTATGTTCTGTGATCATAAATGCTGAATTACCACAGATTGCAGAGTGCAGATTTCTGCCAGAAAAAAAAGGTTGTTTCTTTTTTTTGCTTGCTAATTTTTTTTCACTATTTAAATTTATTTCAAGTTGCAATTCAGTGCTTGGAGACAGTTTTTAAAATCAGCCCAGAGGACACCCATCTAGCAGTTTCACAGTCTTTGACAGAAATGTTCACAAATTCCTTCTGTAAGGTAAGCTGTCATTGTTTTCTCATTAGTGTCTGATTTAAGTATGATGACAATAGTATGTTGGATTCTTAATATTTGAGGGCCAGGCCTATAAGTAACTAACTTCCTCCTAGGTATAGCATAGTCCACATGGATATGGTTTGGGACCTAAAATATAACTTTTTAAATGTGCTCATATCAGTAGCTGTTCTCATCTTCTCACCTCCTTTTATATTTAGTGATGTCTTAGTTGGCTTTTTAAGTCCTTTACCTGATTATTTTTAGATTTCTGACATCTGAGTTGACATTCCCCTGAAACAAAGAACACCAGTGAAAAACAAAAGTTTTAACATTTATTAAGCAACCATGTAGAAATATATTCATCAGGAATTGAATATCATTTTGAAGCAGATTTCATCAAATTTGGCCATTGCTGGGACTCTTTAAAGCAGGGAAAGTTTCAGAGGCAATGTGCAAACCTAAGACTGCAACCCAAGTTTTCTGATCCTTCTCCTGTGACTGTTTATGTAGTCTCTGGTTTCTGGCCTTTTTAGGAAACATGGACCCTAAGATTGTCTGAAACATTTTAAGATTAGTGAATTTAGGGCCACAGGTGATCTCCCATGTGTTTCTTTCATTACAATTTGGTACTTCATGAACTCTTTTTGTTATTCTAGCTTTGTATTCAAGCTTCAGGGCAGAATGAGGAACTCAGGAGAGATGCTGAAACATATAGTATATACTTTGGCCTGGTAGGGACGTTGCTGAGAATACCACATTGACTGTTTCTAGAACTTGTTGGAAAGAGGTTCTTAGAGTTGCAATAAAGATGGTTTTAAAATTGTGGCAGTAAACTAGTCTCTCTTTATATACTTGGAAAAAGAGTAATACAGTCACACATTAATTCATCAAACAGGATAATTCTAATTATATAGCAAGTTATAAGGAAATGGTGGTGTGTCTCTCTGTGTTCTTCAGCAGGGAATTGTCCTTTTATTCCCTTTGGTTGCTGCCATTCTTTCATTATCCGGGCCTGTGGCCTCCTTAGGGAACCTGTGTCAGTGGCTGGATATGATTCTGGCTAAAGGTGACCTTCTTTGCTCCTAAATGCCTGAGAGGCTTGTGCTTGACACAGCATTTGGATTTGCTCGGTCTGGCTCTTGTCCCCGATGACCTGGTACTAAAGAGATCAGAACTTTTGTTTTTTACCTCCCAGGAAGCTCAAATTGACTTTTGCACTCTGTTTAACAGAGTTTTTTCTCTTTTTTCTATTTTTATTTTCTGATTGTATTTAATTGTAAAAATGTGTTGCTTGTTATTTTTAAAATATGGTTTCTTGGAACTGATATTTGTGATATCAGTCCTTTTTTGTTCTTATTTAACAGCTATGGCTTCATTACATTATGGGTTTGTTAGCAGAGTATGGAAAGAAAATCTAAAATTTGTCTGCAGCAGCTTATTTTATATTTAAATTGTAATAATTAAATAGATTATTTGTCTCCCTGTGTGTACTTGGTTGTTATGTTGGTTATTTTATTTTTAGGGTATTGCTTTTCTGTTTTTCCTCCTAATTAAATTTATATACTGAGAGATTTCATTCTTTTTAGATAAAGTAGATAATACTTGTCCCCCCATCATGGTCTGCTCAAACGTATTCAGTGAATATGAGAATTAGTTTTTGAAGTTGTAGAACCATGACAATCTCATTAAAATAATTCAGAAGGATTAGAAGACAGAATGGATTATAATCCATTTTTCAATGACCCTTTTTTTCATGCATAAACCTTCTAGGCTACAGTATCTTTGAACTGTAGATCCTGAGTGACAATAGTCAGTTTTAAGTAGTGACCTCTAATTAAAAAGGCTCCTATTTTGAGTCTATATTTTCTTATTTTAATATCTTATGTTTGGAAAAACTGATTGAGAAAGATTTTTAAAAAATAAGAATGACTCATATACTTTATCAGTAATTTTGTACTTGTGGATATTTGTGTGTAATTAGCAAAGTATATTTCCAGTGTGAAAGCTATCAAATTTATTGAAACTTTAGTCAAGATAAAGGTAGTGGTGGGTATATTTTAAATATAGTACATAGGTATATTGGTTACAAATTATGCTTTCTTGAAAATTATTAATTTATAAAGTTCAGAGTCAAGCTTAAGAGCAAACCAATTTTTAAAAGATTTTTCAAATCATTGGGTTCCCAGTGCCACTCAAGATATTTCTAAATTTTAATTTAGTTTTCATTTACACCTTTTTGTACCTTACTAATGCAAAAGAGGTTTGAGGATGATAGTGAATGCTAAAAACAGGAATCTTGTACTCTGTGTTTTACCGTAAAGTGAAATTAATATATGCCATTGTTTTAAAAACTTTGGAATATGGAAAGATACAAATAAGAGACTGAAATTTTTATTTCCAGATATTATTACTGTTGACGTTTTGTGTACATCTTTCTAGTCTTTGTTTTTAACCTGTGTCTCTATGCATGTGTATCTGTACATATTTAAATAAAAGAATCATTTTATAAACGCTTTCTTTATAAACTAAATTTTACTTAGTAGGATATCTGTTATATTTCAAAATGTTAACTAATAGAAACAATCCTTTGAACATATTTCTCTTCCTATTCTTTGTATAATGATTATATCTTCTGTTCATGAAGTAGAATTTCTGGGTATAGGGAAAGCAAGTAAAATTTTTTTTAATTCACAGTTGCCCATTATCTTTAGAAAAATTCCACTTACTCATTTTTCTAATAAAAGTATGTCAAAGTTCCTTCCCCCTATTTCTTCTAACACTGTTATTAGTCTTAGGTTTCATGACGTGGAATTACAGCTGATTTACTGTAATAAGGGTAATTCATTATTGCTTTACTTAGAGTTCTCTGGGATGACTCTTGATATAGCCAAGTGGAAGTACATTGATTTTTTTTTTTTCAGAATGACATTCTGCCTCTCTCAAATTCTGTGCCTGAAGATGTGGGAAAGGCTGACCAACTAAAAGATGAAGGTGATTTCATAGAAATATTCTTATTTAGTAAAATTTTCTGAAACTCTGTAGAAAGTTGACTGTGTTCATTGATAAGATTCTGGTTTAAACTGCCAAGACTGGATTGTCATAAGTCTACCTGGCATTTGTGAAACAGAAATGACTGTGATAGAGAAGAAGCCTAGAAATACAGAATGGCTTGTGGGTATAATGTAGGTGTGGCTTGCTTTGAGAGAAGCAGATGTTTTGGGAGTAAAACTTGCAAAACAAATAACTTAAGGGGTGATTACATTGATTTGTGTACTTTAGGATCCCCAATTCTTCTTTATGCCTAATCAAAGAGATGAAAATAATTTTTAGTATTATTTTAATTTTTATATATTTAGTGTTTTTGAGTTCTTTGAAATTTGTTAATGAATGCATATTGACTTGTTTATTAGCACGTTTGATCACTACATTATTAAATTTTCTACTAGTGGTTGTTGAAGCATTCTTGGTTTTAATAAATAAGTTACTATCGAGGATCTGTGTTCAGTTTGTCCGTCATGTCAGTTATGTTAAGCTATAGAGGACGGATAGGTCAGGCCTACAAGAGTTATACTAAGAAGTTGTAGGGCAGAGTCCTGATCTTAAGCAGTGAATGTGAGCCAATTAATTCACCGTCCTAAAGGCAGAGAGTTATTAGGGAATATGTCATGTTCAGAAGTTATACAAAAGTGGTTTGAAACCATTTTCTGGGCTTTTCTTTAGTTCATACCCTGAAGAAGGCAGGTGAGTTAAAAAAAAAAAAAGATCAATTGGTGTCTAAAAAAGTTAGATATGGAAAAGAGTATGCTTTTCCTATTTCTTGGGCCTGGTCATCTCTATTAGAGCTATAAATATACAACCTGTATCACCACCTATAATGGTTGCATAATGTTTCATGGTAGTGTAATACCATAATTTACTTACCTAGACAGATAATTTTGTAATCTTAAGTAACATTGTCTTTAATATCATTGTGTAACACTTTCACTGCTGTGTGAGTATCTTCTTAGGATTATATTATCAAGTGCTGCATTTCCAACATACAGACTGGTATCAGTTTTCAATTGTTTATTTCCTCTAAGAAATGATATCACTACAATTACTTAGAATTTTAGAATAGTATGACTTTAATAAATTCCATGCAAAATAAAGCAACAACCAGATCTTCATCATCATTTGAGTTACAGTAGTCCTGAAAGAATTTGGTTTTAAACTATCCAGATATAAATATATTTTTCATATATTATTAAAACAATTTAATCTGTTGTTTTTTCCTCACTGAGAATTTTGTAGTATGTGAAATCCTCAGTGATGTGGTATGTCCTCCACTAACATTTGGCTTTTGCAGCTCTCCTGGTTAAGCTCTAGTAATAATGTTGTATAAATGGCAAATTGAAATTTCATTTACTCTCTCATATTTACTCCCTCTGCATGGCACAACATTGGGAGATTGCGTTCCCTATTGAGTTTGTTTTGATGAGATGAGTATTAGTAAGATATGGGTGAGAGGGATAAGCAGGGTGAGGCTCATTTACTGTGGCAGCATGGGTACACTGTACTTACTGCTTTTGCTTTTACCCAGAAGCTTTGGTTCTTTGTTTTCACCAAGACATGTTATACATAAAATTAAAGGAACTGGGGGGAGGAGCCAAGATAGCAGTGTGAGTAGAGCAGTGGAAACCTCCTCCCAAAACCATGTGTATTTTTGAAAATACAACAAATACAACTACGCCTAAATGAGAGACAAGAGGATACAGTAAAACAGCCAGGCTACATCTACATCTGCGAGAACTCAGCATCTCACGAAGGGGGTAAGATACAAGCTGTGACCTGGCAGGACCTGAGCACTCCCCCAACCCCAGCCCACCAGCGGGAGGAAAGGAGTCGGAGCAGGGAGGGAGTGGAAGCGCAGGACTGCTAAATAACCAGCCCTAGTAATCTGCACCAGGAGTGCAGAAACACATTGCATGGTGTGCTGGATATTAGGGAAATGGAAAAGTAAAGTCTATGAGTGGCTCCCCTGAGACAAAAGAAATGCAAGTGCTTTTTGAAAGTCTTAAAGGGACAGGGGCTTTACAGGTGGAAGAAATCGTCCTGGCACACTCAGCCCAGCAGGCTGGGAATTCTGAGGAGCTTCAGACAACCCAGCCCTCTGGGAAGCAGGGCAGCTCTGAAGCCCCTCACAGTGATAAGCAGCCTGCCATTCAGTACCCCTCCAGCGTGGCTCTGCCACAGCGGCTGAGCAGTCTCAGAGCAGCCACACCCACAGCAGCTGCCCAAAGTTTCCTCTCCCAGCGTGAAGCTGCCTGGGCCAGACCTAGGGGCCACCGCTGGTGGAGAGCACACCCAGCGCACCTGCCACTTCCTGCAGGGCTCTGGGCTGCCCTGACGGCTGCTCCCAGTGTGGGGGGGAACCGACACAGGCAATGGAGAGGGGCAGGACGACCAGTAAGCAGGAAGGGACTTCATTCTCCCAGCTGACACATGCGTCACCTGCCTATGACTACCTCTATTACCATGAAAAGGCAGAAGAATTTGGTCTAGTGCAGAATCACCCAGACAAACCATGAGAGAGGGCATGGGGAGATGGATACGGCCAATCTTCCTGAAAAAGAATTCAAAATAAAGGTCATAACCATGCTGATGGACCTGCAGAGAAATATTTAAGAGCTAATGGATCAAGTTAGAAGGGAGAATACAGAAATAAAACAATCTCTGGAAGGACCTGAGAGCTGACTGGATGAGGTGCAAGAGACTTTTAATGGAATAGAAATTAGAGAACAGGAATACAGAGAAGCTGAGGCAGAGAGAGACATAAAAGGATCTCCAGGAATAAAAAATATTAAGAGAACTGTGTGACCAATCCGAACAGAACAATATTTGCATTATAGGGGTACCAGAAGAAGAAGAGACAGAAAAAGGGATAGAAAGTGTCTTTGAAGAAATCATTGCTGAAAACTTCCCCAAACTGGGGGAGGAAATAGTCTCTCAGACCATGGAAGCCCACAGACCTCCCAACACAAGGAACCCAAGGAGGACAACACCAAGACACATAATAATTAAAATGGCAAAGATCAAAGACAAGGACAGAGTATTAAATGCAGCCACAGAGAAAAAAAGTTCACCTACAAAGGAAAACCCATCAGGCTATCATCAGACTTCTCAACAGAAACCTAACAAGCCAGAAGAGAATGGCATGATGTATTTAATGCAATGAAACAAAAGGGCCTTGAACAAAGAATACTATATCCAGCACGATTATCATTTAAATATGAAGGAGGGATTAAACAATTCCCAGACAAGCAAAAGTTGAGGGGATTTCCCTTCCACAAACCACCTCCACAGGATATTTTAAAGGAACTGCTCTAGATGGAAGCACTCCTAAGGCTAAATAGATGTCACCAGAGAAAATAAAAAAACAGCAAAGAAAGCAGACCAACCAAATACTAACTAAAGGCAAAAAATAAAATCAACTACCCACAAAAGCAGTTAAAGAAAACACAAAAGAGCACAGAATAAAACAACCAGCATATAAAGAATGGAGGAGGAGGAATAAGAAGGGAGAGAAATAAAGAATCATCAGACTGTGCTTATAATAGCTCAATAAGCGAGTTAAGTTAGACAGATAGTAAAGAAGCTACCCTTGAACATTTGGTAACCACAAATTTAAAGCCTGCAATGACAATAAGTACATATATTTCAATAATCATCCTAAATGTAAATGGACCAAATGCACCAATCAAAAGACACAGAGTAACAGAACTGATAAAAAAGCAAGCCCCATCTACATGCTGCTTACAAGAGACACACGTCAAACCCAAAGACATACACAGACTAAAAGTGAAGGGATGGAAGAAGATATTTCATGCAAACAATAGGGAGAAAAAAGCAGGTTTTGCAGTACTTGTATCAGACAAAATAGACTTCAAAACAAACAAAGTAACAAGAGATAAAGAAGGACATTACATAATGATAAAGGGGTCAGTCTAACAAGAGGATGTAACCATTATAAATATATATGTACTCAATACAGGAGCACCAACAAATGTGAAACAAATACTAACAGAATTAAAGGAGGAAATAGAATGCAATGCATTTGTTCTAGGAGACACCACTCACTCTAGGAGACACACCACTCACTCCAAAGGACAGATCCACCAGACAGAAAATAAGGACACAGAGGCACTGAAGAACACACTAGAACAGGTGGACCTAACAGACATCTACAGAACTCTACTCCCAAAGCAGCAGGATACACATTCTTTTCATGTGCACATGGAACATTTTCCAGAATAGACCACATACTAGGGAACAAAAAGAGCCTCAGTAAATTCAAAAAGATTGAAATTCTACCAACCAACTTCTCAGCCCACAAAGGTATAAAACTAGAAATAAATTGTACAAAGAAAACAAAAAGGCTCACAAACACATGGATGCTTAACAACCTGCTCCTAAATAATCAATTGATCAATGACCAAATTAAAATAAAGATCATGCAATATATGGAGACAAATGACAACAGCAGCACAAAGCCCCAACTTCTGTGGGACGCACCGAACACAGTTCTATGAGGAAAATATATAGCATTCCAGGTCTATTTAAAGATGGTAGAACAATCCCAAATGAATAGTCTAAAGTCACAATTATTGAAACAGGAAAAGGAAGAACAAACGAGGCCCAAAGTCAGCAGAAGGAGTGACATAATAAAGATCAGAGAAGAAATAAATAAAATTGAGGAGAATAAAACAATAGAAATCAATGAAACCAAGAACTGGTTCTTTGAGAAAATAAACAAAATAGATAAGCCCCTAGTCAGACTTATTAGGAGAAAAAGAGAATCTACATACATCAACAGAATCAGAAATGAGAAAGAAAAAATCACAATGGACCCCACAGAAATACAAAGAATAATTAGAAAATACTATTAGAATCTATATGCTAACAAGCTGGAAAACCTAGAAGAAATGGATAACCTCATAGAAGAATATAACCTTCCAGGACTGACTAAGGAAGAAACAGAAAATCTGAACAGACCAATTACCAGCAATGAAATTGAATAAGTAATCAAAAAGCTACCCAAGAACAAAACCCCCAGACTGGATGGATTCACCACGGAATTTTATCAGACATATAGAGAAGACATAATACCCATTCTCCTTAATGTTTTCCAAAAAATGGAAGAGGAGGAAATACTTCCAAACTCATTCTATGAAGCCAGCATCATTCTAATACCAAAACCAGGCAATGACACCACGAAAAAGAAAATACAGACCAATATCCCTGATGAACATAGATGCAAAAATACTCAAAAAAATGTTATCAAACCAAACTCAAAAATACATCAAGAGGATCATACACCGTGATCAAGTGGGATTCATCTCCGGATGCAAGGATGTTACAGTATTTGAAAATCCATCAACATCATCCACCACATCAACAAAAAGAAGGACAAAAACCACATGATCATCTCCATAGATGCTGAAAAAGCATTCAACAAAATTCAACATCCATTCATTATAAAAACTCTCAACAAAATGGGTATAGAGGGCAAGTACCTCAACATAATAAAGGCCATATATGACAAATCCACAGGCAACATCATACTTAACAGCAAGAAGCTGGAAGCTTTTCCTCTAAGCTCAGGAACAAGACAGGGATGCCCACTCTCCCCACTGTTATTCAACATAGTACTGGATGTCCTAGCCACAGTAATCAGACAAAAAAAAAAAAAAAGAAATAAAAGGCATCCAGATTGGTAAGGAAGAAGTCAAACTGTCCCTGTTTGCAGATGACATGATATTGTACATAAAAAACCCTAAGGACTCCACTCCAAAACTACTAGAACAAATATCTGAATTCAGCAAAGTTGCAGGATACAAAATTAATACGCAGAAATCTGTTGCTTTCCTATACACTAACGATGAAGTAGCAGAAAGAGAAATCAGGAAAACAATTCCATTCACAGTTGCATCAAGAAGAATAAAATACCTAGGAATAAACCTAACTATGGAAGTGAAAGACCTTTACCCTGAAAACTACAAGACACTCTAAAGATAAATTAAAGAGGACACTAACAAATGGAAACTCATCCCATCCTCTTGGCTAGGAAGAATTAATATTGTCAAAATGGCCATCCTGCCTAAAGCAATCTACAGATTCAATGCAATCCCTATCAAAATACCAACAGCATTCTTCAGCAAACTGCAAGAAATAGTTTTAAAATTCATATGGAACAACAAAAGACCCCGAATAGCCAACACAATCCTGAGAAGGAAGAGTAAGGAGTGGGGATATCGCTTCCCAACTTCAAACTCTGTTACAAAGCCCCAGTAATGAAGACATTTGGTACTGGTATGAGAACAGACCCACAGACCAGTGGAAAAGAATGGTGGGTCCAGATATTAACCCAAACATATACAGTCAATTAATATATGATAAAGGAGCCATGGACATACAGTGGGGAAATGACAGCCTCTTCAACAGCTAGTGTTGGCAAAAATGGACAGCTACATGTAAGAGAATGAAACTGGATCATTGTCTTACCCCATACAGAAAAGTAAATTTGAAATTGATCAAAGACCTGAATGTAAGTCATGAAGCCATAAAACTCTTAGAAAAAGACATAGGCAAAAATCTCTTGGACATAAACACGAACAACTTCTTCATGAACATATCTCCCCCATAAAGGAACAAAAGCAAAAATGAACAAGTGGGACTATATCCAGGTGAAAAGCTTCTGTACAGCAAAGAACACCTCCAAGGGAACAAAAAGGCATCCTACAGTATGGGAGAATATATTCATAAATGACTGATCCGATAAAGGGTTGACATCCAAAATATATAAAGAGCTCACGCACTTCAACATACAAAAAGCAAATAATCCAATTAAAAAATGGTCAGAGGAGCTGAACAGATAGTTCTCTATAGAAGAAATTCAGATGGCCAACAGACACATGAAAAGATGCTCCATATCACTAGTCATAAGAGAAATGCAAATTAAAAGCACAATGAGATATCACCTCACACCAGTAAGGATCGCCACTGTCCAAAAGACAAACAACAACAAATGTTGGCAAGGTTGTGGAGAAAGGGGAATGCTCCTACACTGCTGGTGAGAATGTAAACTTATTCAACCATTGTAGAAAGCAGTATGGAGGTTCCACGAGAAACTCAAAATAGAAATACCATTTGACCCAGGAATTCCACTCCTAGGAATGTACCCTAAGAATGCAGCACTCCAGTTTGAAAAAGACAGATGCACCCCTATGTTTATCGCAGCACTATTTACAATAGCCAAGAAATGGAAGCAACCTAAGTGTCCATCAGTAGATGAATGGATAAAGAAGATGTGGTCCATATACACAATGGAATATTATTCAGCCATAGAAGAAAACAAATCCTACCATTTGCAACAACATGGATGGAGCTAGAGGGTATTATGCTCTGTGAAATAAGCCAGGCGGAGAAAGACAAGTACCAAATGATTTCACTCATCTGTGGAGTATGAGAATAAAGAAAAAAACTAAAGGAGGAAAACAGCAGTAGAATTACAGAACCCAAGAATGGACTTACAGTTACCAAAGGACTCCGGAGGATGGGTGGGAAGGGAGGGATAAGGTTGGGGGGGTTAGAAATGGGGCATTATGATTAGCATGTATAATGTAGTGGGGATGGTATGGGGAGGGCTGTACAACACAGAAGACAAGTAGTGATTCTACAGCATGTTACTACGCTGATGGACAGTGACTGTAATGGGATATGTGGGGGGGACTTGGTAATGGGGGTAGTCTAGTAAACATAATGTTCCTCATGTAATTGTAGATTAATGATTCCAAAAAAAAAAAGTTAAAGCAACTGTTATTTAATGAAAAAAAAATTGCCATGGTGGATTGTCAAGCATAGGGTTATTCCAGGCTGCATCCTATACATATCTGTGATATCTGTGTTAATCAAGGCTTCTAGCCAGCTTGTACCTTCCTAGAAAGTTGCTTTCAATATTTTTGTGTGCTTTGCTTTGGAAAAGCTTCTGTAAGATTAGATGAAACCAAGAAGAGTTCATTGCTGTCGTCGCTGACTTGTCACAGAAGGCATTCATCTCATAGGGTGTCTTGAGATTTAAAAGAGATAATTTTATAAGATGGTTCCATGTATATACAAACAATAAAGTGCTATGTGGTGCTTAGTTACATTTATGGTCATGAATTTCGTTTTTGTCCTGAGTTTTTGTATATTGTAACTTGAAGCTTTTTATCATTAACATGTATAAATGTGTATATACATATAGTAGGTATATATATTATAGTCTATACATTTGCTGTGGTTTACAGAAAAAGACATACAGTAGGTTTTAATAATCAGTTCTAATAATAAATGCCACCCCAAGACAAAAAGGCCGAACAGCAACAAAAAAAGTCATGTGACCCAGAAAAGTTAAATCTTTTACATGGAAGAAGCAAATCTAAGTACCCAGGTTAATGTCGCTAATTTCTTTCTCAATCATAAATGCTGTTAATCCTCTTAGTTTCCATAGAAGCTTTTTATTAATTTCTTTGTAGGGGTGGCATCTAAATTAATTTTTTTAACTTTTAAAAAGCAGCTTTCTTGAGCTATAATTTGCATGCCATGAAAGATACTTCTTTGAAAGTGCGCAAATTCATTGGTTTCTAGTATTTTTAGAGTTGTGCAGCCGTCACCACAATCGTAGAATATTTTTATCACCTCCCAAAAGATAATACATATCCAATAGCAGTCACTCTTTATATTCATTGCTGATTTCTAATTTGCAGTAATTTTTCTATGATTTTAGATGCTTTTATCTACCTGCCTTTCCTTTAATCTTCCTGTTTTTATTCCCTGCAAATGTATACCCTCCTCCTCCATTAAGTGGCTTATGATCTATTAAAAGACAAAACTAATAGAGCTTCTAGTTTAGAGAAAGCTGGAAGGAATAATAGAGGCTTTTGTGATGTAATCCCTCCTACTAATCCCAGTGTTTTAAAAATTGCAAACATTTTTAAAGTTTGTCCTTACATTGGTCCTTATAAATGAACAGGATGCTTTTTCTCCATTTAATGGACTACAGAAGATAGTCACAGGAAATGTCTTATTTTGCTGACCAGTTGTTAACCTAGCTAAGTCATTGCCAGATGTTTCTGCACATGACCTTCCTGAAAATCAGTGCCCTGTGTGCTAGCCATGGTGTTTGAAATTCTGTCTTTCTAAAAAATTAATCTCCAATAATCCCCTTTTAAGATTCTCTCTCAGGAAGAGAGAGCACATAAAAATATTATCTGCCAGAAACAGGTTAACATGATTAGTTTTACCCAGCTTACCTACACAGTAGAGTTCTGGGGGCTTGGTTCTGCAGCAGGTACATGTTTTGACAGGGAAGGAACGGAAGATAGGTCCAGACTGAGATGGTGATGGAGGAGGGGGTTGCATCTGGAGTGGGTTGGGGCAGTTTTAATGGGAAGGAGAGAAGATGAAGATAAGGAAGGTGAGAAGCAATTAAACTTTGCCATGAGATAATCCTAATTGTTGCATTTACTGACCATTGAAGCCTGGATTTTATGAGGCATACAAACATTACTTTTTACAAGACTGCCTTGTAAAGTCATTCAAACACACCTAAGGCTAAGGAGTATCCACTCCACAGTACAGTGTAAAATTTTTCACCAGTGTGGCTGAAAAATCATGTTTCTGACCTTTGTGTTATTGTAGTTTCTATGATAAAAATTTATTTTTCAGACTTCATGTTTTTTCTATAGAATGTACTTACTGTACATATTGATCACTTTATTTTAGGCAATAACCACATGAAAGAAGAAAATTATGCTGCTGCTGTGGATTGTTACACACAGGCAATAGAATTGGATCCAAATAATGCGGTTTATTACTGCAACAGGTAAACTGGCATTATTGTGGCAGATTTACAGGTCTTAAGCATTTGCATTAATAAATTTGAAGGAGAAATGTAAAATTTATTTACTTATTTAGAAAACTTGAAAAGTTTAGAAGACTACAATGAAGGAAAAAATAAACCTATGAATTTACCATTTAGAAATAACAACTGTTATTAATCTTTTGGCATATTTTGTTATTAATTTAATGTTATTTTAGTATTAGTTTTAATTTGTATTTAATTGCTGGTGAGATTGGATATTTGTCTAATGTTGGCCCTTTGTGGGTTTTTTCCTCCTAAACTATCTTTTTGTTCCAATTCATTGAAGAATGTTGTTGGTAATTTGAGAGGGATTGCATCAAATCTGTATATTGCTTTGGGCAGGATGGCCATTTTGACGATATTAATTCTTCCTAGCCATGAGCATGGGATGAGTTTCCATTTATTAGTGTCCCCTTTAATTTCTCTTAAGAGTGACTTGTAGTTTTCAGAGTATAAGTCTTTCACTTCCTTGGTTAGGTTTATTCCTAGGTATTTTATTCTTTTTGATGCAATGGTGAATGGAATTGTTTTCCTGATTTCTCTTTCTATTGATTCGTTGTTAGTGTATAGGAAAGCTACAGATTTCTGTGTGTTAATTTTGTATCCTGCAACTTTGCTGTATTCCGATATCAGTTCTAGTAGTTTTGGAGTGGAGTCTTTAGGGTTTTTTATGTACAGTATCATATCATCTGCAAATAGTGACAGTTTAACTTCTTCTTTACCAATCTGGATTCCTTGTATTTCTTTGTTTTGTCTGATTGCCGTGGCTAGGACCTCCAGTACTATGTTAAATAACAGTGGGGAGAGTGGGCATCCCTGTCTGGTTCCCGATCTCAGTGGAAATGCTTTCAGCTTCTCGCTGTTCAGTATAATGCTGGCTGTGGGTTTATCATATATGGCCTTTATTATGTTGAGGTACTTGCCCTCTATTCCCATTTTGCTGAGAGTTTTTATCATGAATGGATGTTGAATTTTGTCAAATGCTTTTTCAGCATCTATGGAGATGATCATGTGGTTTTTGTCTTTCTTTTTGTTGATGTGGTGGATGATGTTGATGGATTTTCGAATGTTGTACCATCCTTGCATCCCTGGGATGAACCCCACTTGGTCATGGTGTATGATCCTTTTGATATACTGTTGAATTCTGTTTGCTAATATTTTATTGAGTATTTTTGCATCTACATTCATCAGGGATATTGGTCTGTAATTTTCTTTTTTGGTGGGGTCTTTTCCTGGTTTTGGTATTAGGGTGATGTTGGCTTCATAGAATGAGTTTGGGAGTATTCCCTCTTCTTCTATTTTGTGGAACACTTTAAGGAGAATGGGTATTATGTCTTCTCTGTGTGTCTGATAAAATTCCGAGGTAAATCCGTCCGGCCCCGGGGTTTTGTTCTTGGGTAGTTTTTTGATTACTGTTTCAATTTCTTTGCTTGTAATTGGTTTGTTTAACTTTTGTGTTTCTTCCTTGGTCAGTCTTGGGAGGTTGTATTTTTCTAGGAAGTTGTCCATTTCTTCTAGGTTTTCCAGCTTGTTGGCATATAGGTTTTCATAGTAGTCTTTAATAATTCTTTGTATTTCTGTGGAGTCTGTCGTGATTTTTCCATTCTCATTTCTGATTATGTTGATTTGTGTTGACTCTCTTTTTCTCTTAATAAGTTGGGCTAGAGGCTTATCTATTTTGTTTATTTTCTCAAAGAACCAGCTCTTGGTTTCGTTGATTTTTGCTATTGTTTTATTCTTCTCAATTTTGTTTATTTCTTCTCTGATCTTTATTATGTCCCTCCTTCTGCTGACTTTAGGCCTCATTTGTTCTTCTTTTTCCAGTTTTAATAATTGTGATGTTAGACTATTCATTTGGGATTGTTCTTCCTTCTTCAAGTGTGCCTGGATTGCTATATACTTTCCTCTTAAGACTGCTTTCGCTGCATCCCACAGAAGTTGGGGCTTAGTGTTGTTGTTGTCATTTGTTTCTATATATTCCTTGATCTCTATTTTGATTTGTTCATTGATCCATTGATTATTTAGTAGCATGTTGTTAAGCCTCCATGTGTTTGTGAGCCTTTTTGTTTTCTTTGTAGAATTTATTTCTACTTTCATACCTTTGTGGTCTGAAAAATTGGTTGGTAGAATTTCAATATTGTGGAATTTACTGAGGCTCTTTTTGTGAGCTAGTATGTGGTCTATTCTGGAGAATGTTCCATGTGCACTTGAGAAGAATGTATATCCTGTTGCTTTTGGATGTAAAGTTCTATAGATGTCTATTAGGTCCATCTGTTCTAGTGTGTTGTTCAGTGCCTGTGTGTCTTTACTTATTTTCTGCCCGGTGGATCTATCCTTTGGGGTGAGTGGTGTGTTGAAGTCTCCTACAATGAATGCATTGCAGTCTATTTCCCTCTTTAGTTCTGTTAGTATTTGCTTCACATATGCTGGTGCTCCTGTATTGGGTGCATATATATTTAGAATGGTTATATCCTCTTGTTGGACTAAGCCCTTTATCATTATGTAGTGGCCTTCTTTATCTCTTGTTACTTTCTTTGTTTTGAAGTCTATTTTGTCTGATATTAGTACTGCAACCCCTGCTTTCTTCTCACTGTTGTTTGCCTGAAATATGTTTTTCCATCCCTTGACTTTTAGTCTATGCTTATCTTTGGGTTTAAGGTGAGTTTCTTGTAAGCAGCATATAGATGGGTCTTGCTTTTTTATCCATTCTATTACTCTGTGTCTTTTGATTGGTGCATTAAGTCCATTTACATTTAGGGTGACTATTGAGAGATATGTACTTATTGCCATTGCAGGCTTTAGATTCGTGGTTACCAAAGGTTCAAGGTTAGCTTCTTTAGTATCTTACTGCCTAACTTAGCTCGCTTACTGAGCTGTTATATACACTGTCTGGAGATTCTTTTCTTCTCTCCCTTCTTATTCCTCCTCCTACATTCTTCATATGTTGTGTGCTAAACTATCTTTTTGTACCTGTGCCGGGCCTTAGCCTGTTCTACCTCAGAATTCTTTCTTTCTCTGTTCTGCCCTTTTTAACAGAGTGTCTGACCCTTGTAGACTGCATTTCTCAGGCTCCTTTGTCACCTAGTTCAGGGTTTTGTCTGGATTCAGCCGTGGGAGGTGTTAGCAGGAGACTGGAGGGCAGAAGGAAGTGAGAAATCAGGGTATTTCTTCCCTTCTTTTTCCATCAGGGTGTTTATCCTGCAGGGGCTGCTTTTCATCCTTGTCTTCAGCTCCCACCCAAGACACCTGCTATGGTCCCAGCCTCTGCCAGGTGTTATTGGGCTTTGGAATCAGCACTTGCCCTTTCTCTTTGGGGTGGTAAAGGCCTCCTGCTGTCACTGAACTCTGGGTGCTGCATAACCTTCCCCAAATTCCCTTTAGCATTTCTGCTCTTCTATCAGCTAATTAGTTAACTCTGCATTGAATTGTTCTATTGGAACTATTAATTTTCTAGTAGACCTTTGGGCAATGGTGGAAATGTTCTGTGTCTGCATTGTTTAGTAGAGTATCCACTAGCCACATGGCTGCTGAGCAGTCGAAGTGTGACTAGTGCAGCTGAGAAAACTAGATTTTTAATGTTTAATTAATTAAAGATCCACTTAAATTTAAATAGCCACGTATGGCTAGTGGCGATGGTACTGGACAGCATAGCTTTACATTAAAGATATAATCCGTTTCCTGCTAGCTTATTGTTTGCCTTTTAATGTTTTCACTTGTAAAAGTTTAAAATATTTATATTGACAAATTTGTTTTCTTTTCTGTTGGATTTTATTCCAGTGGTTTTAGGCTTAAAGCTCTTCTCATTTACAGACCAAATAAATTCTATTTTCTTATTTTGCCTTAACATTTAAACTTTTTCATCTCAAGTCTATTTTTGTGACTGATATGACTATTTTAATATGAAATTTTTTTTTTTTTTTTTGAGAGGGCATCTCTCATATTTATT